ACAGTTTGCTGAAGCAGTTAGGAGAGAGCTTGCCGTACTTAAAAGAAGTGCATAAAGTGATATCTTAGTAGGTAATGAACTCAGCATTGCATCGCTGAGGAGGGAAGAGGACGGGAGCACAGCTTCCCATTTCACAGATGAGAGAGACTAAAACCCAAGAAGAGCTGAATTGCTTCTCCAGCAAGCCAGTGGTCAAGCATGGATGGACTATTGTACAGCTCTAGGATTATAGCCCTCTGTGCCCTTGAATTTTGACTCTGAGGGTGCCATGAGATTGAACAAGGAAGAAAACAAAATACCTTCAGATATATTGGTAAAGACCCAAACCCAGTTCCGGTCACTGAATTCTGTGCATGTAGGCAGCCTCTGTAAGGTCAAGGAGATGCTGACTGGACTAAAATTTGGGTTTTAGAGTGGCTAGTGCTCCCAGCAGCCCCTTTGGGTACAAAGTAGAAGGGATGAGCCTGTTGTGGTACCATGCTGCCGTCCATGCTGGCCCCTTCTGGGGCTTCTGCTGAACAGGCCCTGGGTTTATGGCTAAGCAGCAAGTAGTGGGGCCTCTGCTTGCCTCCATCTCCCTTATCCCTGACAAAGCTTGTGGGCACGGTCAGCATGGAACCCAACCTACTTCGCACCACAAGGCTGCACAAGTGTATCACTGAAGATGTCTCAGGTACAGTGTGTGTTTAATAGGTGTTGGATGCATGAAAGGATGTTGCAGCCAGAAACTGACAAGAAATTCAAATTCTTTTTGCTGCTGTGAGCAGAGACTACAGGTACCTTTTCACCAGGTAGGGGTCACTGTATTTTCAGGGAGACTTCCTTTTGGTATAGTTGAGTCAATACTTCCAATGTCCTAAAGCTCAGGGCACTGTTTACTGCCCATTGTGTTAGTAAAGCCAGCCCAGTCCAGCAAAATGCCTTTGTGCACGGATTAGGCTTGCCTTAAATTCTCTCGGGCTGATATTTTACCCATCCCAGGACTGAATGAAGCCGTATGGATCGTATGCAGTGACTTCCTTAGAGCTGGCTGGGTGAAGAAAAGTGAAGGTAATGGATCAAAGACCCCAGGGTTAAGGAACAGGACAAGGAGGTGTGCATCAGCCGCATGATAAAATCACAGCTGGTGCCAGCTGCCTCAGCAGGTCGAGAAACCATCTTTATTTAAGAACTGCCTGCTACCAGAGTCAATAACTAACTACCATTACAAGAAGTACAAGAGAGACAGACTAGAGGCCAGTGGGAGTGGTTCCATCTGAACAAAAACCGAGTCAAGTCAGTGGTCCGATAAAGCCCTACGCCTTGCCCAGCCAGATTTTCTAAGCTCTGCAAGGCCCTGGATGGGGTGGGGTGAGTGAGCTGGAGTCCAGGAGGCTAAGGCAGGGTGCACCCTAACTAAGGGCGTTAGGCTTCCTGGGACTCTAAGGCAAAACTACCTGACCCATCTTTTTCCTCCTCAGTTTCCCTCTACTGTCCTACCTTCCCAAAGCCTATGACCATGTATATACAGCTGCCAGGCACCTTTTTCCATGGAGCCCTTTGAAGTCCCTTAAAAATGCCCATCTAATCCCTTAGGCCACTTTAGGAGGCTCTGGCCACCCCGTTCATCCCCAGGATGAAGCCCAGGTTAGGGCGTCCCAGGGAAATAGGGCACCACACGTGAGCCGCAAGCCCAGGTTTGAGTACACTACTATCCTCGTGACACAGAAGAACTCAGGTGGCAGTCCATTCTGAGACCAGTAGAGTCCTGTCGCTGGGGAAGAGACGAAGGGGATAAAACGTCCTTAGCCAGCCTGGGCTCTTGTCCAGAGCACGAACTGGGGGGCTCCTGGGATTGCCAAGAGGAGTGAGTGTGCACTGGGAAAAGTGCTTGGGGGAGCCTTCTCTCTCTGTGACTGTGACTGCACTGCAGGGGCCACAGCGGAGAGACACTCCAAGACTCTTCCTGTGCTGAGCACTTTTCAATTCTAAGAATCTTAGCCCTGGAAGGACGCCTACAGCATCTCCCCACCCCTCCAATCTTCACCTAACCTAGACCCCAGAGCTACAGCTATCGAAATTCCTCAAAGTCCCCTAAAAAAAAGGAAGAAGCCTCTTACTATGCCAGGGCCTCATTGCAGGAGTTTTTCTGATGTCTAACCTCAGTCTCAATTTTATCAAAAGAAACTCTACTCCCCTTTATAGCCCTCCTATTCCCTGGCGCCATCAGTATCATTTGATGCCCTGAATGAAAGGAGACAGACAGCCTGACCTTGCCCAGCCCCGAGACTCCATCTGGAGAGAGCTGCCCTCCTTGAGGATGAGGTATACATCGGGCCGTCAGAGCAGCGAGGACCAGGTAGCCAAGGCCATGAAGAGCCCTGCAGGCTGAGCTCAAGTGTACTCACAACAGAGAAACTGTCTCCCCGGGCCCTGAAGTGGTGTCTGCAGGCTGTCTCAGTCCCTAGTCCCCAAGGCACTTACTGGCCACTAAAGTACTAGTTTATGGCTATCCCCTTGCTGCCGCTGCGGCTTGGAGTGAGAGGAGAGATCCAGAGTCAAATCATGACCACAGCAGGGGTGAGCCCCCCTGAACTACACCAGCCCTTCCAAGCAGAAATGAAAATCAGGGGCCCCTTGGGCAGGAAGGGACTCTGAGAAGCCATCTAATCTCTTCTGCCTCCTTGGAAACTCCTGTACAAGCCACCCCAACAAGAGGCTATTCCATTTCACAAGCTTGCATGTCCTCAGGTCACCTACAGTCTTATTAAACCTGAGCTCTACCTGAAGTCTCAGGCTGCCAGAATATCATTTTAGTTCTGTTCTATCCCCGCAAACAAATCCCACCTGTACAGTGGTTAGGTTTTCCTGGGGCTATTTTCCTAGTTTGAACCTCTTCTTGGCTTCCCAGCGAGACTGCCTTCCTCTCCTTTGCTAATAGGCCTCATTAGAACTAAGACACTTGGTCGAGTCTTTTGCCTCAAGCAAGCTTAGGGACTGCAGCCTCCAGCTGCACCAGTTAGGTACTGTGCCAAACCAGCTCACCCCTTTTGGACCAGCACCTAGACACCTGTACCCTGCTCCCCCTGATGCAGCCCAAAGCAGTGAGGACAGAATCAGCTAAACTTTGGAAGAAGGTTTCTTACTTTGAGCATCCCCTTCCTGTTGGAGCTAGGCACAGCCAAACCACAGCCGGGAGGCAGGTGAAGCACAAATGCTAGGCCCAGTTTGGGGGCCCTATAATGGGAGATTGGTCTCATAGCTGAGCCCCCAGCACTTTGCATCGGGGGATGGACAGAAGCAGGTGAGGAGGGTGTAATCAGATGGCTCTCAGGGAGGCAGTCTTGGGCTGGGACAGGGTGATGGGTATAGCGGTGGCAGGAAGAGGAAGTGTGAGCTTACGTTTTTAAAAAAATTGTCGTGGGTGAAATTATCAACATAAACCTGCCCAGGAAAATAGAGCAGGGCATAAAAATTTAAAAACCATAGCAAAATAGAGCTATAACTGTAAACTACAGAAACCAGGCTCAGGGCACCAGTCCCCTACAAGATGGCCGTCCTGCTGCTCCCAGATATCCAGGGCCACTTGTCAGAGCATGGGCATTGGGGGTTCCTGGTTGTGCCACCACTGTTACCTGGATTTGGGGAATCCCCATCCTTGCTTTGGGCTATTCTTGAAGCAAGGGTAAGGGGAACAGGGACTTCAAGCCAGTGCTGCATATTGAGGTCCCAGCCGAAGAAGCTAGGCTCAGAAGGCAGAGAAGGACTGATGTCTCCTAGAATCGCCCGTGCCTTGGGCTGGGACCCAGCCAGGCCCTGACCCCACTGGAATCTCTTGAAGCAGATTTTCATAGCCACTGCCCTTCTTAAACCACCACCTTAACCAGGCCGTAGCCATTCATCACTGCCCCCTCCTCTGGATAGACAAGGAGCCTGGAGACTTTTCTTATCCCAGCCCCGTTGCTGACATGCTGTGCGACCTTGGGAAGTCCTTAACCCTTTTGACCTCAGTTTCCTCGTCTGTAAAGTAAGGGGCTTGGACAAGCTGAGCTCTAAAGCCTCTCCCAGTTCTGATGTTCTGTGCCTGGTAATATACCTGACCACAAGATAGGGCGTCCCATTTATTAACCCTTCTTTCTTCTGGGGGAATGCAAAAGAGTGGTCCGAGGCAGCCTGGGGGACGGGTCTTGTCAGGTGGTCCTGGGCACTCCTGGGTGTAGGCAGGGCCACATTTATCCTCGTCCTTCTCAGAAGGCTCCCGACTCCCAGACACAGAATGAACGCCGGATTCCTTTCCCAGGCTCGAGCGAGTCAGTGCTGGGGGAGCGGAGTCCTGGGGCCTGCAGGCCGAGCTGGAGGACGAGATGGGTGCAAGACCCCTCTCTCCTGTCTCCTGCCCAAACCCTGGAGGGCTGTGCAGGGTGGGTCTTGGTGGGGTGGAAGACCGCCCCAAGACAAGCCCTTTAGTCATCCAGCCACCTGTAGTGGCTTCTGTCACTCTAGGTTGACAGGGTCGGGTTGGCAGTGTTGGCTAAGAGGGAACATCAGGCCGAGTCTGGTGCTCCTCTCTACCAGGTGTCCCAGCCTCTCAGCCCTCGTCAGTCCCCAACCCCAGCAGTCTGGAGTAGCGTCCACCAAGCTGCAGGGGCTCAGGCTCCTGGCCTCGGACTTTAGGGCACTGGTGCTCAGCCACCTGGGCAGGTGGTAGGGGCCTCCAGGGAGTCATCGAGGACAATGTCAGGGTCCAGCCGTGGGTCCTTGGTCCTGGGGTTTGGCCCTCTCCTTAGACTGAGGGATGTTGGTGTTCACACTTCATCCCACTTCAGCCCAATCAGGACCAGTGTTCCTGCCGGGCCTCAGACTCTGCGCTCAGGGGCCAGAGTCTGCATGCAGTCCCAGGGCGCCACCTCCACAGATGTGCAGATAGATGTTTCAAACCTCCTTTCCACAGGCCCGTTCCTTCCATCTAGGTGCCCTGAAAGGCCAGGGCACAGGGCTCAGTATCATCACGAAAGTTACTGCCTGGTGCCTCTTGATTTAAAGAAAAAAAAATCCTTGTATGGGTTCTATCCTGTGGCAGAATTTGAAATATCCTACCTTCTACAAAAAGGGCACAGTCTAAAATAGGTATTTAAAACCAGCCATTCTTAGGCACAGTGTTGGGCCACCTTGGCGTCGGGAAGGGACCAGGGCCAGCTGGCTGTGTTCATCGGAGGCAGGTGTCCGGCTGTGGCGGAGAGGGGTGCCAAGGTCAGAGTTCCAGGTAGCCTATGAGGATGAGCATGGCCATGGAGTGGGAGAGGATGGTGCCCGAATGTGCGGCTGGGCAGACTGCCGAGTTTTCCACCATCATGCTTGTGCCTGAAAGTGGCAGGTGGAAATGTGGGGCTGGGTGGGCTGGGCCTGGCCTCACCCCGCCCCACCTTTGGGACTGGTCCTAGACGTTCTACAGAGACTCAGGGCCGGCTTCTGGGCTGGGATGTATTCTTAGCCCCACTCCTACAGCGTTTTGTAGGACCCCTGTACCCCTGAAAGGAGCACACTCACCTCCCCGGCCCTCAGGGCGGTTCCAGGCCTACTTGGCACAGGTTCCTGCCTGCCTTGCCCTGTCCCCTTGGGGTCTGGCTGGGTTGGAGTTGGCTTGGGTGGGGAAGATTCCCTCATCGGGCATCTGCATGGACCTTGATATTCTGGGGTGGGGGGCGGATGGGGAGAGGAAGCACCTCCGTTCCTCACGATGTGAACTTCTGCTGGGGTCCCATCCCCTCCAGGCCCTGTGGTCCGAATCTGCACCAGAGCATGGCCGATGTCTTCGGGAACTGCAATTTCTATCCAGTTCTTGGTGGTGAGGTGCAGCGTGGGAGTCAGGTGTAAGTCATTCTGGTACAGCATCTGTACGAAGGGTGTTAGCCAGGTGGAGCTACTTACGCCTAGGCCAAGTTTTCTCTCTTCCCCAGCTCAAGGCCCTGGGAAGAACCCATGTGCTTCTGGGCCCTGGAGGTTCTGCCTCCTCACCCCTCCTGTTTCCTGTTGACCAGGACTAGGCTCTTGAGCAAGCTCCTCGTTGGTGGAGGGAAGCGTGCAAGCAGCTGAACTATTTTTGCAGATCCCTTAGGCTAGAAGGACCCGAGACTTCACGTGGGCCGTCAGTGCCTCCATGACCCCTGCCTTTCCGCAGGACATGCCATCTGCCCCCTTCTTATAGTCTCTACTACAAATCACCTGGAAGACCACTCATGTATTTCATGCCTCTCACAATCACAAACACTTTGCTTATGTTTAGCTCCAATCCCTCCTGCTGTAGACTGCAGCCCCCTTGTGCTCACTGGAAACACCGATGAGCTGTTCATCACTAGCCAGTGCCTGCCTGGTCCCTCCCTTACCTTATAGCCAGTGACTGCAGACTCATTTCGGAGAGGGACCACAGGGTCCCACTTAATACTAAGACTGGAGCTCGAGAAAGTCCAGGAGATGTTGTCAGGAGGTCGCCGTGGAGCTGCCAGAGGAGGGAGGAAGTTGGGGCGACTTGCACGTGTTTCTTTGCCACCCACCCCCTTTGCTTTCAGCCAGCCTTTTTCTAGATGTCTGCCCGCTGCAGTTACACCCAGAACATTCTGTCACAGCTACCTAAGAAATAAACGCCATGAAAATCCAAAGATTGGAGAAGAAAAAGGCGCTTTAGAAGCCATGAACTCCACTCCCTTATTTTCACCAGGCTTCCTGTCTTACTACCGTCCAGCCCAGCACTTTTGGGCTGGAGCGTTTTTCTTGCATTAGAGAAAGAGTGATCCTAGGGGCACCTCCCCACCCCAGGCGCACTCACGGGGCTTCATGGTCGTCGCACTGGTGGAAGGGCTGGCAGGCCCAGGGCCCGCTCGGTTGTAGGCCCGCACGGTCACATGGTATTTGGTGTTGGGATGCAGGTCAGTGACTCGCGCACTGGTGTCCAGCCCTGCTGTCCTCACTCGGTCAGCAGCGGCTTCTTTGTCCCCAGCTTTCCAGTAGCGGATCTGAAGGGAACAAAGATACCCTAGAGTCA